TTTTTCCATATTCATTTAAACAGTATTCTAATTAAATCTCATTACATTCTAGAGATGACATGGAGGCAAAAATAAAAAAAAAAGGTAATTTTTATTATGTCAGTTTGGTTTGTTTTACAGCATATCAACCTCAATGGGTTATTTAATGCCAACAGGGTATGTATTGCTCGTAATAATTTTTCTTCAAAAACGTATTGCTCGTAATAATTTTTCTTCAAAAACGTATTGCTCGTAATAATTTTTCTTCAAAAACGTATTGCTCGTAATAATTTTTCTTCAAAAACGTATTGCTCGTAATAGAACCTATTTTTACACTTTCATAGTGTTTTGAACCTAGTTTAAGGGTTAGCTATTTGTCCATAGCCTGGACCCTAACTGATCAGAGGCCTTGCAGTTGGATGTAGTTTATTGTCATATCCAGGACAGTTTTATGTCAGAGAGAAGACTGAAATATTTCACAAATTTATTTTTTAATCATTTCACCCCACGGAAGGCAATAAAGCCCCTAAGGAGTGGGGTAACGAGAATGAAAGAACATGAGAAAAAGAAAAAAAATTACCGAAAGAGAACAATAAAAGTAAAGGAATAAAGGTGACAGAAAATAACGATTGACACTGCATTAAAATTTTTAAGATGAATGTTGACTGGAAAGTAAGATGCCAGAAGAGAGCTCCACAAGTGAAATGTAATCAAACTTCAATCAGTTAAGTGCCATACACGGTTGGGTGATCATGTCTCTTGATTCATGACTGACTTAGAAGATTTTCCCTGCTGTAGGTTGCCGTTTCTTTCTGCAGCAGACTAGTTGCCAACCAAGGCTATAGTCTGTCCTGCTAGTCATCCCATAGCGGGGTTAGGAGAACAAACGTATACAGACATTTCCCAAGGGCATTTGCGTTTAAGTGAATCTAATAAACCTGAGTGGAATTCGAACTTGGCTCTCAAACTTAAACATAACAGGAAAAAAAAAAAAAAAGAAGCCCACATGAAGTTTTCTTTGATGATCAATATACACTCTTTCAATATTTTAAAGAAACAAACAATTGTTTTTTTTTGTTGGAAAATAACACAAGGTGGATACAATAAAGATTTATCCTGGCCCAATTCAAATACAATATAGAAACATACATTCATACAGGAGATACACATCAATTTGAAAGTACACTAATAAAAGGCTTTTTTTCTTCTTTCAGAGTCTAAGAGATGCAGCATGGTGTCATGGAGCCAGCAGAGTACAGGGATGTAATCAGTATCCCATTTTTGACCGGTAACACTCCACAACCAATTTTCAAGGAGATAAAGGCACTGTATAGACCAGATACTAAGTAGCTAACACAATGGAATGGAGTATCAACATTCCAAATATAGTCAAACTTTAAATGGAAACAGACCAGGTTCAATTGATTGGTATCTTTTTTTTAAATTTAAGTTCATCCAATACAAGGTTCAAGAGCCACTCAAGATAGAGCGTTACTAAGTGAGATTGTTGTAAGGACACAAAGGAGGGGGAAGTGTATATTATGAGGATATGTAGGATAGCTATTAGTTGACCCTAGACTTAAAGGTGTTAAGATTGTAATGGTCAGGGATGCATCCTTTCAGGAATGTTCAACAAATTAACAATTCTGGGGAAGAAACTGTTTGAATTTTTACTTATTCATTTCACATTCCTTTGGTAAAGAGTAAGGATTTGATACCTTAGCAGGTCTTAGTTAACTAGTTCAGACCTTTATGGCTAAGTAATGTAACTTAAATATTTAAATATTTGCTATAGTAATATAGTGGCAAGCTAGTAACATTTCATCTGTTGGATAGGGGTTGCAAGGTGAAAAATAATTCATCACTCACAATGCTGTGTAGTTACTTTTGAATTCTATCAATGCTGGACAGTACTACACCATCCTTGGTCTGATCTGACTCTTTCAAAGATTATGGCAGCAGGTTATTGTTCCAGAAAATACCTTTCAATAAGCAGTGATTACTATCTTAGGAGAATGCTGCATAAACATTTAGAAATTAATAGACAGTTTAAAATTAGTGCAAGATTTGTGAGGAAACGTAATCATTCATGAACACCTGCATATACAGAAAATGTCAGTACAGTGGGTTCCCTGTGCACATTTTCTGTAGGAGAAACAGATTCAATTGCTTCTGTAAACTTTAAGTTGACTAATTACACAGAATGAAATTTAGGTTCATCACTTACACAGACTAATATTAGTAATGGTAATATTAGCAATTTCCTTATGAAGTAACATTCAACATTCATTGACTAAACAGTTAACATTACTGTTTGTTGAAAATTTCAGAATCTTTCTATTAAAACATTTTTTCAGAAAAAGATGTTTCTAGTTCCATTATCCCTCTTTCCAGTATTTATAGGGACTTCTTTCCTAACTTTCTGTTTGAAGTAGTCTGAAACATCAGAATTTTCATTATGTTATTGTTTTCTCTTCATGTTACATGTACTATCAATTTTAGTTGTTGAAAGTTCAAGTTATGTGGTTTCTGTTATAATTCTTTGTGATTCATGCTAGTCCATAAAGTTCAAAGAAGAATGTTCCTCAGTAGCAAAATCTCAATGGAATCAGAGATTTCCCACCACCCCCAAAAGGTACATGTCCTGCCCTCTTGTCGCAAATTTACATTCAGTCTTCTGGAACCAAAATAATGTGATGCTTATGGATGTTTTGGCCAAATAACAATATCATGCTGCATTGTCATGTAAATTACAGGAAGCCATCAAAACTCACATATATGGTAAAACTCAAAGGTATCCAGACTTTACAAGACTATGTACTAGTACACAAGTCCCATATTATACAAATAGAAGCATGCTCCTGTGACTACAAAATTCTACCCAATTCTCCTGACCCAGCACTATCTGCTTTTTACCACCCCTACCCAAAACTTCTACAACAAACATTAATGAAATGTAATCTTGTGCAAGCATGTGTTATTGAATTTTTCATGTTGAAAAAAAAAAAAAAAAAAAAAATGGACTGATTGATATTCATGGTGACTAAACAGCAGATGTAAACAGTTATATAGTAGGTAATGTCTTTCTGCAGAGCAGAAAAAAAAAAAAAAAAAAGTACCGGAACTTTTGCACACATCTTATTTACAGAGAAAACAATAATTTAAGAGTGTTTTTTATTGCAATAAGCAAATAGTATTTTATATACAAACTAGACTTTTCCCCCCATGAGAATACCTACAAAATAGTAATTTTATCACCTCAAGGTCAAATGCAAACAAATTTTGTTGACACTTATGTACAATAATTATACGACTAAAAAACTAAGGATATTAAACATACTAAGAATTCAGGACAAGTTGCAGAATCACATAACCAAGTACACATTAATAGGTGCTGATGTGCATTTGGCCAGGGAATTTTTAAGATTATCTAAAACTATGTCTATAAACCTATTACAATATAAAGAACTGTATAAAATGTCTCTTTATGAAAAGTTTGTCATGGTTGACAATTGGAGTAACAGCAACTTTTTGGGGGCCCATTTTGTCTGGGCAGATGAGAGAATGGTTTGCCCAAGTGTTCACTTTTATCTGTTAATGTTTGACATATTATCAAGTTATCTGGCAATGAAACAGACCCAAGAAGTAGATTTATGATGTTCCCAAGGACATTTGTCAAAAATGAGTATGAAATGTCTCAGCTGAAATTTGAACTCAGATCAACAATTTTGTTTCCCCATTCTGATAAATTTTATGCTGCTTGGCATTTCTTATCTAGTATAAATGTGTTTGTCTATTTTAGTTGTTTTAATACTACCAAAGAAAAAAAAATAAAATAAAAACAAACAAGAAATACATTCAATATTGATAAATAATAAATTTAAATAAATGAAAAAGACCAACTTCAAACATAAAATGATTATACCTTCTTCAGAATGCAAATCATTAAACAGCACGGAAAATAAAATTGGCAAGAGAGTTCAAATTCAAGCCAAAGCAGTTCATGTTCACTTCATAAGAATATTAAATAATTAAAGACTTAGTTTTAATATTGGTTTTTGGAAATGTTAGAAAGAAAAAGGAAGGAAGGAAGTAATGTGATGCATATGGATTTTCTCATAGTATTAGATGTAATAGTGATCAAATTTCAGCAAACTTGAGCCTCTGTGCCTGTAAAAAAAACAAAGTCAAAAGGAGGTTTTTCCCTTGACACCACTATTATTTTTGCTACTTTCTCACCTCAGAAATGTTCATTCTTTTAAAAAAAAAAGAAATTAAAATTCTAAGAAAATCTAAAACGTATGAAAGTGAATTTATAGTCATACAAATATAATAAACACTATTATTAGATTGTTTATTTGAATTTTCAGCCAAACATCAGCTAGTTGCAAATAGATTTAAACTTTATAAAATAGTAAATAAGGATTTCCTTATAGTTGGTTCACATATTTTAATAATTTAGTAAATGTTTATAAATTTATGAATAAAAATTGTTTTCATATTTATTTCTTTATAAATTGGTAATTGCATTAGTTTTAATACAATTGTATTAGTTTTTAGAATGTTGTAAGTATAAAATTATTATTGTAAAAAACAATCTAATAAATAGTGTTTAGTATTTTTGTTAAAGTATAAATTTACTTTCATGTTTAGGTTTTATTCCAATTCTCATTATCACTTTTTAAAAAAACATTGCCAAGGAGTGAAGGTAGTTAAAATGATAGCAGTGACAAGGGAAAAAAAAACTGTCCTTATGATATTTTATCCCCCACCCCCAGGCACAAAGGTCCCAGTTTGCCCCAATTTCTTAGATAATTGTCAGTTATTCCTTTAATTTTGTTTCTTTTGCTTTTTACTAAAACTCCTGGATCATTATTCTTAGCTAAGTAATATGGATGACGAAATAAGCTATTGAATGACAATCCTGGAGTTGTAATGAAAACCAAGAGAAATTAAAAAGAAAGAAATACCACTCAAAAATGAAACAAGATGCCATACTTTTGAATATCACCCATACACACCTTCTTCAACTTCTTTCTCATTTTCCTTTCATGTTTCGGCAGGTGTTTGAATTCATCATCAGAACTGGAACTTGAGGAGCTACTGCTGCTCTTGCCATGTTTCTTGTGTTTAATCTTCACGTGGCCAGGGTACATGCTTGGGCAGTAGGGAGTGGGCACAAGACAACTACACCTGCAGGACAGACAGACAATGCAAGAACACAACACAAAAGGAACATCTACAAGCCTTACAACGTTAATATGAGAAAGGTCTGAAGTTTTTTTTTTTTTAAATCTTGTATTTCACATTGACATGCAGGAAGTGTAACAGTAACTTAGAAAGAGAAATCAGCAAGCAGAGTTCCTTTTGTCCATTTTTGCACAAATACCCTTGGGAAAGGTATGAATCTATCTTTTCTCTTTTCAGTTATGGATTAGGCTGTCTGAGATCTCTTGCTTTTAGATGGGAACCAATGTAGAAGGAAAACTAAATTTAAAAAAAAAAAAAAAAAAATAAATAAAAAACCTAAAGAGGGATACACTTCATTAGACTATCTTGCCAGAGACCATCACTGCTGCCATGGCTGTAGTAAATGCGATGACCCTATGACCTTAATAGGTAACGTAACTCCTGAAGTACTGCTGATATTTCACAAATAACCTTGTACAAATATTTAGGAACTAGTATTCATTAACTATTTCATTACAGAGGTAAAGTTTAGTCATTGTAGATAATTGCATATATTAGCCTTTGAAAAGTTATATCTTGTTAATAAGTGAACCAGAACTTTTGAGAAAAATGGAATTGTCATACCCTGTTAATTATTTAACTCAAATGAAAGTGCTCAATTTGACATCCACAGCTAGATGGAAATTAGTTCTTGTGACATGTCAATTGCAACTTCATTTGAATTGTATGTATGTATATATATATATATATATATATGTGTGTGTGTGTGTAAATTCACTGATAGAACTAAAAAAAAAAAAAAAAAAAAATCTGTTCAAATAATTTGAAAACTTCAATAAAATCTAATGTTTTTAAAAATTCACTTCCTTTCTTTTTTGTCTCCAATTTAATGATTTTGTTGCTTAACCCAGGATAGGAGGTTGTATAGACTGAATGGAAGACAAATGTACTATTCCAATATATTATTTCAAATTCAGTTAAATTGTATGCAAATATACTTGTGTACATTAAATGCCACCAGTACATACAAGTAACTCACGATATGGCAGACAAGGAAACTCCTACAAAACAGAAAAATGTAAGGATGTTGAAAAAAAAAAAAAAAAAAAAAAAAAAAAAATCTTCCTTATCTGCCATATTTAATGAAAGAGGTTTAAAAAGGTTGCTGCCCATATATTTCCAGGTTTAAAAACTTACATATTTTTAATTTATGCACAGGTGAGTAGAAGTTCTATTTTAATAGTTTCATTTCTTGCCTGTAGAACTCTCCTGGTTTCTTGCTTCCATGCCACCCAGATTCTTCAAAAATTTAAATGCAATATCAATCATTTTTTTTCTCGAATCCTGTTTTTTTTTTTTGTGTGTGTGTTTTCTCCTCATTAAAATCATTGTCTTTCACTCACAGTAAACACTTGCATCTTAGTCACATTGCTTGAAGGTGAAATGATTTAAAAAAAAAAAAAAAAAAAAAAAAAAAAAAAAAGCACTTTGAGAAATTAAAAATTCAAGTGAGCAGAGTTAGGGCTGAAAGTCTATATAATATCCAGAATTAAGGAAGAGTGCAATCAAGCGTCTTATCTTTCATGACCTTAATAAAATGCAGTATTTTATTTGTTTCTGTCCTGTTGTTAAGACAAAAAAAAAAAAAATGCTTCACAGACTTTTTGCTTGGAAGCGACACATAATTAGACCAGACTATGTTCAATATGGATTTTTTTTTTTTTTTTTTTTTAGATACAAGCACTATTTTACCCATAGCTGGGTGGGAGGAAATAGATTCATACCTTTCCCAAAAGGTATTTTCATGCAAGTGAATGTAATGAACCTAACTGAAATTTGAATTTGGCTCTCCAATTTCACATTCAGAGCCACTACCCATCACCCCCCCCCCCCGAAATATAGAAGTGTGCAATCAAGCTACCGTTATCTTTCACAACCTAGATTTTTCAATTATTATATGCTCTTAAGTAAAATAGAGAAATTGACTTGATTAGAAACCTCTGTCAGACTCAGCGGCCACCAAGAATTGATAAGCTTTTTTGTTTGTGAAAAAAAAAAGGGCAATTCATTTTACCAGTTTTTACATAAATTTTTTTTTGTAAGAGACAAAAAACAAAACATACCTCATCTCTCCAACATTAATAAAAAAAAAAAAAAGTTCAATTACTGTCCTCATGAACAAGATCAACCTCTTAATTTTAAAACATTAGATTGGATGTAGCAAAAAGAATAATTATCTATCAATGAGCAATGTCTTCCACAAAATGAAAATTGAATCCGACTTTCCAAACAGCCCAATGTTACATCAAAATAACATGGAGTTTGATCCTTTGGAAACTAGATTCAATTGTATTTGACCTTTCTCATATTTTTTCTTTACAATATTCATAAAGAGCATTAAAAACAAATTAAACAGAAAATTAAAAAATAATTATTCGGAGGGGGGTGCTGCAAAGTTTTCAAGGAACATGCTTCCCAAAATATGACCAAACATCAGACTTTTTTTTTAAAATTTTTTCCTGTTTTAAAGAACTTAGTAGCACCTAGTACAAGCAGGTCTAAATTAGGTAAAAAAAAAAAAAAAAAAAAAAAAAAAAAAAAGACAAGTCTTTGCAAATATTTGGCATACATGAAGCATTCTTGAACTTTTTTTCAAAACAATAATACTGGTTAAGACATCAGAAAATTAACATCTATTATTTCAAAAAGTCATTAGCATACCAAGAGTTGTTTCATTCTCTATGTTGTGTTTTTGTTATCACAACTAAACCATTCTACAGTTTTCATCTGAGAAAGAGTAGTGTGTGAGTAAGGGGGGGGGGATTCATTTTTGTATAGAAATATACTGTAAACAGAAGATGGCCTAGAAAGTATATTTGCAAAATGAATTGTAGTAATAACAAAAGTAAACAAAGAATAAAAATAGTGTCCTGAACAACTTTTAGCATTAGGGAATTATTAGTCTCCTTCCAACATTTTTTATTATGAAATTTGAATTTAATGTAGCTCATGAAAATCCAGTTATGTATACAGATGAAAATTAGAAAACACTTGAAGTTAACTTTTTATTTGATAAAAGGAATCCTATTCTTTGGTGTATAAGAAATATACAAGTAAAATGTCTGAAATAATTGAAATTTCCATCACCCACAGTAATTAGGGAAAAAAAACAAAAAACAAAATCAATTGTATAACAATCATTATAAGCTATATCTATTTATTCTTAATTAGTGCGTGTGTGAATTTATTGTGTTAATTTTTTTCATAGCTGTTTTGATATCATTTAACTTCCAGTTTTCTAGAATATTTATTATTTGCTAACTGCAGTATAATTGTCCCCAATTTATATGCAAATTCATTACTTTCTCCAATTTTATTTATAAGAATTATTCCATATTCAATATTAAATTCAATTTTTCTCTTTTTAGTCACCCCAAAAAAAAAAAAAAAAAAAAAAAAAAAAAGGCAACAACAAGGCTTGAAAGCCAAATTACATTTTTTTTCTATAAAAAAAAAAAAAAAAAAAAAAAAATATCACCATTTCAAGCAGTACAAAGCAATTCTGGATTTTAATATTTGCTTTTCAGGTTGAAGTATCATTTTTGTACTTAGAAAGATGACAAAAGTTGATAAACATGTTATTTATACACACAAATCATTTTAATAAAGACCAGTATGATTGCAAAGAAAAAAGAATTGCCTTTTTTTGTTAAAAAAAAACAAAAAAACACACATACACTCAGGTAACAACACATGCATGGTCACTTTTTTTTTTTTTTTGCAAATACAGCCTCAAAACAGATTTTATTAACAGGGATTTAAAACAAACTTTCCCTTACTGTTTAGAAGCAGCAAGTCTTATATTCAAATGATTACCATTTTAAACAATAAAGGAACAATATTGATTTAGATCATCAAGAATACAGTGTTTTTAGTATTGACAAGTGATGTAGGCCTTTTTCTTTTTCAAATAATGGACTTGTAATTTTCTCTGAGGCATCTCTAATCATACTGTCCCACTCGATTGTAAAGGTAAAAAATACAAGCTTGTATATCAAAGTTTTTTTTGTTTTTTAAGATTCGAATATCACAAGTTCTGTGCTTTTGTCTAAATGGTGAATTTAAGGCAATATCAAAAGTTCTAAAAATCTGAACGTGTGCAAAGTGTAGCATGGACTTTCATCAATAAACCTGAAACAAGATCCTAACTCTGATCTCCATCGACTGGCACTCTTCATCTTTGAGAGAATTGCCAAACATTCAGTCATATAGCAGATTAGATATTAAATAATTCATCATGCTTTTCTTTGTTTCAAGTGAGATATCTTCCTGTCTCTTAATACTTTACTTACTTTCTAAAAGACATGAGGATATTGGCCAGTACACACCACCATTAAGGAGATTAGATATAACAGCAGTTTATTACTCTGGCTTGTTTCTAAGATCATTTTCCCCCCCATCTCTTAATACTTTGCATAATTTCCAGAAAGCATTTTCCAATATACATATGTGCCAGATAGTTACATTTTTGTATCTGCTTGATTTTGGCATTCCCAGTATGTAGCTCACAAGACCTACACTTCTATCATGTCAGTCTAATAGACTAACTCCTATTAATCCCATGCCTAACAACATATCACTACATGTGGCTGGTAATAGGAACAGGTAGTATTGGGACAACCCAAGTGAGAGTCATCACCCAACCAAGGGGGGACCAGAATGAACTTCTTCAAACGCAAATATGACTTAATATAGACAAGCAAATAGAAATCATTTGGTCTTGTGTTCCTACTATACATCAAGCTTATTGACAAAATCCAAAGCAATCCTTACCTGACGAGTCATTTTCTCACCACTATGACATGGCTTCTGTCTTTTATACAAATATTTTCATGGCAATTGTTCTGATGAGCTTTCCCCCTTAGTGCATCAACTGCACAAATTTAAACTTAATACTAGATTGGCAACTAAGTTTTACTGTTTTAACCATTGAACTAGCTAGA